GAGCAGAAGGCCCAGTGCTCCCAGGTCTTGCGAGAACCCGTCAGCTCTATTCCCAGCTCTCACCACTGAACTGGTTTGCCCATGTCCTTGTCAGTCATGCTGTTGACTCTTGATGTGTGTGTCCTGTGTCCTCAGCACTGTGTACATGCTTGCTGTTGACATGAACGGCCCAATTAAATGAGGTCTATGTGGGCTTCCCTAGGGGCTCAGTGGTAGAGAATCCACCTGCCAATGCAGGCGATGTGAGTTTGATCCCTGGTCCAGGAAGATCCCACATGCCTTGAAGCAACTAAGCCTGTGCACCACAACTATGGAGCCTGTGCTCTAGAGCCTGGGAACCCCAACTGCTGAAGCCCGTGCACCCTGAAGACTGTGCTCAGCAACAACAGAAGCTACTGAAATGAGAAGACCTCACACTGTGACTAGGAAGCAGCCCCCGCTCACCATAACAGAGAAAAGCCCATGCAGCAACTAAAACCCAGCATAGCCAATAAATAAATACATAAATAAAGAAAACTATATAAAAAAATGATGTCTATGTATGGGGGGAGGGAGTCCCCAGGACATTTCTGGGAAGCCAGGGTACCAGGGAAAACCACTGAAAGGACCTCAGGGGTCATTTATGACTCAGCCTACAGGCCTTAACTTCACAAGTTGGCACCCAAATACATCTTTTTTTTTTAAATTGACTTTGAGGAAGAGGAGTTTTAGCCAATTTCCTCCCCTGCCAGCAGAAGATTGGGGGCAGAGGTCAGGGCCATGCAATCAGGATCCATTACACAAAGCTAAATCAGGAACTAGAAGGAACTGCTCCCCGGCAGCTCTGTTGCCAAAAGGGATGGTTATCTTTCCAGGAAAGGCTGAGGAAATCCTTTTCTGCCTTGGGGAAGGCCACTTGGTGGAATTAATCCCAGGTGAAAGTGGGAAGGAGATGAAGTGAGTTAATCTCAAGAGGGGATGAGGGGTAGAGAATGAACTGAAACCAGATCCAGGCCCTGGACACAGCTGCGGCCCTTCCCCCACCTCCCTTCCCAACCCCCTCTGGGGTTTCCCATTGTTACCGGAGACAACATCCTGTTTCCTTTACTTGCCTCACTGTCCCAGCCCCTGGAGCCCCTCACTGTCTGCAGGGGACAGGGAAGGGACAGAAGTCCAGCCCCAGGCCCAGGACCCAAGGATCTCACTGTTGGATGTTCGGTGATTGTTTTATATGGCAGAATTAGAGTCTAAACTGTTACCAACTCTTTAGTCCAACAGCCATTCTTTGCTTCTGCATCTTCACATTCCCAATCATGAACTCTTGAGTCAACATTTCACTTAAGAAGACAAGGACACGGGGGCTTGTCCACGGTTTCAGAGGATCTCACATCTGTGTACACTGAATTGGGAGGGATGGATTGTGACTTACCCAAGGTCACAGCAATTGTAGATCTGGGTCCGTGCATGGTGGGACCTCTAAGTTTCTCTGGAGATTACATACTTTGGCAGATCCCAGAGGGAACCTACTTCCCCTCCCTTGGGCTCACCGTGGTCAGTTCCTCCCCTCTGAGTGGCTCTTTCCAGCTGACTGTGGCCTACAGGGGTTCTGCACACATCCTAGAAATGTGTTCAGATTCACAGAGCTCTGGGGCTCAATAGCACAGGCTCTGCAGCAAGCAGGCCTGAATTTGGAGCCCTTGACAGAATACATACTTATTTATTCTTATGAGAAATATTTATTGCTAAGCACTGGGGACAGAGCAGCAGACAAAACAGACATAAGTCCCTACTCTCATGGAGTTTATATTCTAGGACACAGACAATCAGCAAGATAAGGAAGGAGGATATACAGTTTGTGAGAAGGATTTGCTGAGGAGGTCAGTAAAGCAAAAGAGAGGATGGAGAAAAGGCAGGATGGAGTGGAGTGAATGTCCTGTTAAATAGAGTGGATGCATAACATTTGAACCAAGATTTAAAGGAGGTGAGCGATGGAACCATATGGATGCCTGAAGATAGCGCCTTGTAGGCAGAAGCAATGGTAGGTACAAAGGCCCTGAGAAAAAAACATGTCTGGCACAGTTAAGGAGCAGCAGGAAGCCAGTGTGGCTGCCACAGTGAGACAGGCAAGGACTAGAACTTGGAAGCCAGGGCCTCAGAGGTCAGAGTTAAAGACTTTGGCTTTAATACTTAATGAAAAGGTAGTTTAAGCAGAAAAAGGACAGGATCTGACTCATGTTTTAGAAAGATCACCCTGGTCACTGTATGGAAAAGAGAAACAAGAGCACCAGTTAGAAGGCTATTATAATAGTTCAGGTGAAAGATGACAAACAGAAACCTCAGGATTTACTAATGCGGGTAGTGAACTGTGATAAGAAGACAGAGGTGAAGGGTAACTTCCAGGATTTTGGTCAAAGTAATTAGATAGAGGTAGTTGCCTCTTATAGATAATGGGAGAGCCTGGAGGAGGGGCAGGTCTTGGTGGGGTGACTAGGTCATTTATCCTGTGTGATCTGGGGTAAATTGCTTAACCCCTCTAAACCTCAGTCTCCTTATCTGTACAAAGGTCATAACAGTCATTTCCCTGAAGAGCAATGGTGAAAACTGAGTGAGATCATGAACTCCTTGCCTGCTCCTTGGAAGAAAAGCAATGACGAACCTAGACAGTGTATTAGAAAGCAGAGATATTACTTTGCCTTCAAAGGTCTGTATAGTCAAAGCTATGGTTTTTCCAGCAGTCGGAAATGAGAGCAGGATATGAGATGAATGGATATGAGAGCAGGACAATAAAAAAGACTGAGCACCAAAGAATTGATGCCTTCGAACTGTGGTGCTGGAGAAGTCTCTTGAGAGTCCCTTGGAGAGCAAGATCAAACCAATCAATCCTAAAGGAAATCAATCCTGAATATCCATTGGAAGGACTGATGCTGAAGCTCTAACACTTTGGCCACCTGAATGCGAAAAGCTGACTCATTGGAAAAGACCCTGATAATGGGAAAAAATTGAGGGTGGAGGAGAAAGGGGCAACAGAGGATGAGATGGTTGGATGGCATCACCAACTCAATGGACATGAGCTTGAGCAAACTTTAGGAGATGGTGAAGGACAGGGAAGCCCGGCGTGCTGCAGTCCATGGGGTCACAAAGAGTCAGACACGACTGAGCGACTGAACAACAACAAAATGAACTCACAGGCATGACACACTCAGGTACTTAATACATGTCCCAACCATAGTCCAGGGAAGACACTGACCGTCACAACTCCTCTGGAAGGGACAGGAAGGAGAGGAAGACCACATCTATACATCTGTACTCTAGCTGCCACCCACTCCCTGCTTCCTCTGGGTAGAAGGACAGACCTTTTTGACAAAATTGAAAGTTTTCTTCCTTCAAGGTTGTTGATGGTGGAGACGTGGAGATCATGATGATGCTAATGGTGGGTGGTGACAGGTTGATGATAAACGATCATATTCCCATGTCCTTATTCTACAAAACACTTTTATGGCCATTATCTCATCTGAGTCCATCAAGGCAGAAATTATACCAATTTTAAGAAGTAGAAGAATGAGGTATTTACCTTATGTACTATTTTAAAAATTTTTTATTTTATATTGGAGTATAGTTGATTAAGAATATTGTGTTAAAAAAAAAGAATATTGTGTTAGTTTTGGGTGTACAGCAAAGTGATTCAGGTATACATATTGTATACCTGAATATATACATATGTATACATATACAAAAAAATTCTTTTTCAATTTTTTTCCCATTTAGGTTATTATGGAGCATCGAGCAGAGTTTCCTGTGCTATACAGCGGGTGGTTGTTGACTATCTATTTCAAATATAACAGTGTGCACATGTCAGTATGAGGTATTTAAAAACAAAATAAAACAAATCTGGACTGTCTCTACCTGGCTATCTCACGGAACTCCATTTAATCTTCCAGAGAAAAATGTGGACAGGGTCCTGACGTGGGTATGCCTCTTCCCATCCCTGAGTGGGAGTTCTACCCCGCTGTGTCCAGCTGTGATATGAACTCTGACCCCACTTCTCCACTCCCCAGGAGACAGCCCCCAATGCCTGCCCTGGTCCTGTTCTCTGTCTGGGCTGCTCTGAGCATGCCCGGTGTGTGGGTTGCAGCCTTAGTGCTTCTGAGGCTTGGGTCAGTGGGTCTCATACATTGTCCCATTCCAGTTACTCCTCCCAAGTATTGAGGTAAGAGATGAGGTGACTGGAACCTAGAAGAATCAATGTGCCCCAGATCACACCATTAGAAAGTGCTGTCTGGGTTTAGACTCTGAGGTCTGCATCCAGTAGGAGAAATTACTGCATCTCTTCTTCCAGCCCAGCTGCCCCCTCCCTTCACCTACCAGATACCAGAACACAGCTGTCTCTCCCTTGCTCCCCCAACCCAGGCAAGCTTTTCTGGGTGGGGCTGAGCTGGGCGGGGCAGCCCTGTGCAGTGTTCAGTGAGGATGTGGCCCCTACAGGCAAATTCAGCCAGACATCCATGCTGAGCAGCAGTCTGACTGGTGAGAGCTGCTGGCCATGGGTGGGGGTGGGGAACTGGGAGGGTAGGAAGTGTCAGGTCTGGTTGGATCAAGATCCCTGAAAAGAGAATTTAGAATTGTCTACGGAAGAACTCTTGCTGGTTTGAGGGAGAGGGGTTAGGGAATGCCAGGTGACTGAGGGTGTGTAGAAGGAGCAGGTGACTGACGGAAGGGAGGATTCCAGGGACAGTAGGAACCCCAGAGGCTGGAAATGGCGAGCTGGAGGTCCCAGCGCAGGCTTCACTCTTGCCTTGACTCCATCTCCATCCGTGCTGTGATGAGATTCCTCCAGCCCCAGCCACCCTTCCCAGAGAAAGGGCTTCCAGAAAGCTAAAACGACCCATGAACTGAGATCTGGGGGCTGGAGGGTGTAAACTGAAGCGGGAGTCTACTCCTGCCCACCTCCTCGTGTCTTTGCCAGGTGAGAAGGGAGCAGAAAGGAGAGCCTGGAGTCTGGATCGCCTTGCAAGTCACCAGCCATGCCTACTCCTCTGCTCCCGCTGCTGCTCCGCACACTGCTGGCCCGCCTGCTGCTGCCTGCTGCCCGCCTGGCCCGCCAGCACCTCCTGCCCCTGCTGCGCCGGCTGGCCCGCCGCCTGGGCTCCCAGGATTTGCGAGAAGCTTTGCTGGGCTGTCTGTTGTTCGTCCTCAGTCAGAGACGCCCGCCGGACACTGGGGAGACTTCCAGAGTGGCCCGCCTGGAGAGGAGGGAGAGGCTAGCCTCCCAAAAATGAGGCCATGAATCCTGGTAGTAGCTGTGCCCCATGAAATGCTTTATCTCGGAGTAAGACAGTCCTGGCTCCATCACTGACTGCAGCCTGCCCAGTGGGCAGAAGACGTGGTGGGGGACTGAGCACGAGAGGGGTCCAGCTAGGACATGGCCCCCCCTCCCAGCAGAAAGGATTGGCAGGATGCTCTGCTTCCAGAAAACAGATCACCATCCCTCCCTCCCTGCATTCTTCCCTGCATTCTAATCACCTCTGGCCCCTGGAGGGAGGGGAACTGACACTCCACCACCCAGGCAAATGGAGACCAGAGGTCCAAAGAAGAACAATGCTTAACCCCGGGAAAATGGACAATTCGGCTAATCCAGACTGTCTCTGGTTTGAGATTTCCCAAGTAATAAGAACTTGGTTCCCTAGGGAGTTAGTCCTGCCCCCAAAGCCCAGTATGCAATAGGGGCTCAATAAATAATTTGTTGCCTTTAATTCTTAGGATGCCTTTGACAGTCCTGTCACACTCCTGCACTGCAGGACAGTCGAAACTGTCCAGAGGAGAACGGGTGGGGGAACACCTCAAGCCTTCCTTTTGCTACCTCTGTCATTGTCCCTCTCAGTCCCAATGCCCTGGAAGCTGTTTCTCTTTCTAACTTGAATGTCTCACACTGGGAGTCAGCAGTCTTGGGTCTTGCTGGCAGCTCAAGGTAAGGAGGTTAATGTCCTCCAGCGAGTGTGGACATTCTTCTCAGCTAGTGGTGTGGGAAGAGGGAGATCTGTTTTCGGAGGGACCCTGTGGGCAGAACCCCAGAGAAGCAGCCTAGAAATGCATACCCCTGAGGGGTACTCTGCCCAGGATGGTATCTAGGGGGTACAGGGTAGGTGGCATGTGATCTGAGGAATTCACCTCTTCATTTCTCCTCTCCAGTGGGAGGCCCCTTGGGGATCTCAAACAAGAGTTGTCAGAGGCAATTTGCATACCTGCTTCCAGATCATTTGCTTACAGTTCTGCAACACTCCTCCCTCCTACCCGCCTCCACCCAGCCCTGGGCTCCCGGTTCAAAGCGATAAAGTGAGGACGACAGGCGACAAGCCCCTTTCAGGACCCTCACCCTGTCTGCACACCCCGTTAGAAGGCTGGCCTGGGGAGAAGACTCGAGATCAGAGCTGTGGGCCCCCAAGCCGACCCCGCGGGGCTTTCCGCCAGACCCCGCCTCCCCACGCCCGGACACCATCTGCTTCCTCCTGGAGTCATCAAAAGCCAGTGCACGTGCTCGCGCCCCACTCCCGCCCACTCAGAGAGGTAGCCTGGGGAGGGGCGGGGTGAAGGAGATTCGAACCCCTGGTCCCTTCCAAGGCCTCGGGCGCCTTATTTATTCAGCCCGCTCCAGGCTTCTCCTCCCGCTGGCCTCCCGGAGAGTTCCTCTTTCGGGAGTCTGCAACCGTGTGCGGGGCGGACGCCGGGGTAGTACGCTGCAGCCCCTTCCCCGCCCGGTGGTACAGAAGGGTCAGACCCGGCGCTGTCTGCAGTTTCCGGCCACGGCGACGACAGCAGTCCCGCAGGGAGGAGGCCAAACGGGGACCAGGGGCCAACTGGCCTGGGAACTTCCGTCCCGGCTCCCTGACACCGGAGCCCCCTTGGGAAGTCCCAGCAGGTGCGCGGGCAGCAGAGGCGGGCAGCGGAGGCGGGCAGCAGCGGGCAGCGGCGAGGGGCGGGGCAGCGGCGAGGGGGCGGGGCCTGCTGTTTCCCGGGCGGGCGGGGCGGGGCTGGGCGAGGCGGAGAACGGAGTGGGCGGGGCTCTCGTGGGGTGGTGGAAATCAACGGAGTTTGCATCTGCGGTTTCTGGCGGACTTTGGAGGCCGTGGTGAGATGACTGCCCTCCCCTAATCACTTGCAGATGTGTCCAGGGTCAGAGACCTCGGAGCCAAGGATGGGGCAGAGGTCTGAGACATGAAGCTGGAAAACCAAGTCCAGTCTTCCTGAACCCTGACCCCTTACACACCCAACAATGAAGGTGAAGGACTTGAGGTATCTGACTGAGAGGGCTGGATTCTGTCTTCATCTTAGCTGATATTTTGTTCGTCATGGATTTTTGTTTCTTTCATAACTTTAATTTTTTAAAAAATATTGTATTAACACATTATTTATCTGGATTCTGCAATATTTGGGCTCCCCCTTAAATATTGCACCTCAGGCAAGTTGCCTCTTTGGCCCCTCTCTGGCCCCAGCCCTGCCGCAACGCCATGGAGATAGAGTCACAAACACAACTGAGAACATACAGTCATGAGACACGTTGGTGACAAACTGCAGAGCCAAGCAAACACTGAGCAAACGCAGATGGAGGCAGGGCTAAGAAAAGATAGGACTGTATGTGCGAGGTGATGAGGCACCCTTGGGGCCTGGAAGGGGGAGGCGGGAGTCACAGGTCACAGCCTCACAGAGGTGGGGGATCGGGTGGGGGTGGGGGTGCAGCTGGGTCAGCGCTTCACACCCTACTCCTGGACCCGGGACCTGAGGGAGCCAAAAGACTGGGCAGCGAATGGCTGGGCCTGGTGGGCCCAGGCCACTGTGAGTTGGGCTCCGAGGCTGTCCAGCAGAGGGCCCTGGCCCTCAGCAGCCATCCCTGTGTAGACAGGCGGTGCTGGAGGGGTGTGGGTGCTGGCTGGGGGCCCAGGCGAGGAGAGTGCCAGACAGGCTTCTGTCCAGCAATAACAGCCCTGCCTGCTGCCGTCTACTAGCAGGCTAGGCTTCAGCGGGGGTGGGGAGGGGAACCAGCCTTCCCCTGTCTGGCCTGGGACCCTCACCACTTCCTCCCAGTCTCTTTCCACTTCCAGCCCCCTTTGCACACAAGTGAGCCACTGGCTGCCAGCCTGGCCATGCATGCCGGATCCATTTGGCCACTAAAGCCTGCCACCCCCACAGGCTCAGAGACGGGAAATGAGGATGGGCAGAGAGACAGGGGCCAAGAAAAAGGGGAGAGGAGGGCCCGGAGAGGATGAAAGAGGCTGGACAAACACAGGGTAGGAATTGGGTGGGGGAGACCCAAACATGAAGCTGCCCTCAAGCTGTGGGGCAGTGCCTAGATAAACACTACTCATATCCCTCTTCCTGCCCTCTGCTGGTTAAGGCCGGGGGATGATGGTGTATCATGCCTCCGTGGGTTTCCGAGCCAGTAGGCTGGCAACAGCTCTTCTGAGTATCTTGGGGTGAATCCACTGATCAGTCCTAAGAAGAAAAATTACCCTTTGCCTCAAAGCCCAGTCTTCACTGGAGAGAGGGTGTTAGTACTAACATCCCTATGATGTTAGTACTGCTAATTGTTAATTAGTGTCTGTGACTTTCTCCAGGGTAAAAGCCTCTTGGGTAATTGCGTTAAAGGAGTGGGGCTGGACTGGATTTTCTGTCCTCAGCATCTCTCTAGCCTTTGGATCGTCCTCCTGTACTGAGGGCTGCTGCAGGGGCAGTGATTCCCCTGTCCCCAAATTTACTGACCAACCAAAAAGGAGGGAATCCTTCCTCCTTCCTTGCAGGTACAAGAAGGACTAATCATCCCTCAGCGTGCCCACCCCCTTCCTCCTCAGATTGGGAGGATGCGGGGCTCAGCAAGGCTTCCCTTGCTGAGTATTAGGATTACAGGATTCACTCAGGATGTAAGACTTTTCCCGTTCCCAGCAGTATCTTAGCTTTTCCAAAGTTCTGGATTTAGAAAGGGTGAATCATAAGAGGGCTAGAGTAGGGCTGCCACCCCCTCCCCCAACCTTCTCCCCCACCCCCTACACACATCTCTCTCTAAATCACAGTTGTGGGTGAGCGGATCTGTAAGTGTTCCAGGTGGGAAAACCCTGGTCACCCATCATACTGATTCGGTCAGAGGGATGCCCCGGCATGGGGACTGAGAGGATAGTTCCAAACGAAGAAAGTGCTCTGAAAAGGGAAGGGGGCGCTGGAAAGGAAAAAGGTGCTGTGGGAGAGTGGTGTATGTAGGAGGCAGCTTCGCAAGCCATAACGGAACATCTGAGACGGTGTTTGGACGGGGCGGAGCGGGGAGGGTGGGGGGCTCAGGATCTGCCTGAGCAGGTTTGTCGCTGGGAGAGTCCCGAGACGGCCGTGTAGGAGTTTGTGTAACCCCAGCCAGGAGACCAGGGATGTACTCAGCCCCACGTGCTCCGTGATGGGGCAGCGTTTGGCGGGGCCCCCAGAGGTCCAGTATACAGAAATAGTACAAAGGGTGGGCCAGGCAGGTACGGGGTCTCGGTTCTGGGGATCCCTTGTTGCTCCCGGCAGGCGTGCGGGGGGCGGGGTGAGGGCGGGGCCGCGGCGAGCGCCGGGGAGCGGATGCGGGCGGGGGCGCGCCGGGGCGGGGCGAGCGGAGGGCGGGTTTGAATGTGCTCGGGCGGGCGCGGGAAGCGGCCCGGGAGAGCGCGCAGGCCTCCACGCGGGAGAACTCCTTCCTAGCAGGTGCTGCCCCAGGGGTGAGAGGGGACCGGGGGTCGCCGGGGCGGAAGGCGCGCCGCTTTTGCCTCCTGCCACGCGGGCAGGGAGGCTGGGCCTGGCAGCTGCGCCGCCGGGACTGGGGGATGCGGGGTGGGGCCCCCGTGCGGAGCCGCGCAGCACGTGGCGCGCCGAGGCCCCGGCAGGGTTACTGTGCGGGGACCTGGACCCCAGCAGGCGGGGACGACCTGGCTACCGGGCCTGAAACTGCCTGTCGCCGAGCTGACCTCCCCAAGGGGCGGGCGAGTTGAAGGTTAATCTCGATCAATCTCGTCGTTGGTACTGGGGAGGGGCCTCACCGTTAACTGCGCCGGGTGCGGGGAATGGACAGGAGAGCACGCGGAGTGGAGGTGGAGGCCTGTCTCTTTAAACACCCGGCCTTTTATTGGCCGAACCCGTGTACCTGGCCTCCCTCCCTTGCTGGGCGCGTCCTCGTTTATTCCCAGAGAGAACACCCTTGCTTCACTTTAAAGGACATCCCAGATTTTCTTCCCAGGGGAGAGCTGTGGCTGATGAAGGCTGCTCC